TACCTGTTTTGTTTTAAGTTGTTGATATAAGTGAGTTTAAACTTGATAGAGAAAGGCTTCATCAGATACCTTGATAGGATCACTGTGGCCAGGAGTCCAGTCAGCCCTTTACTGGTCTAAGGATGTCGTATTGTCAGTGAACCCATATGTAACATGTGACACCTAGCTCTTTGGCTCCCCTTTTCTAGACCACATACACACTAGTCATTGAACCCAGACATCAATTCATAAATTTACAATGAAAACTCTAACTCTTCCAGTGTGCATTCAACTCTACTGGGCATGATACTTTATTCTTGGGAATAGGATGCCTAAGAGGTTAAATTGAAAATTAGAAGGCTGATTGGTAAGCAAGGAATCCGAGGAAATGAAATTAGGTTGTGCTGAGGGAGAGTTCATCAAATCCATGAAGAAGCAAGCCTTTTATAGTTTCTGTTCTCAAAATGAGTAAGCTCCTCCAGTGAACAGAATACTCTTTCCACTAGATGTAGTTTCTCTTTCTTGGACAGGCTGGATATACTCTGCGAGTTCCAGCTCTTTGGTCCCCTTTTCTAGACCACAAGCAGAATATTTCTTTTCTTTTTTTTTTTTTTTTTGTGTACAGATAGAGTGGGAGGGAGAGAGAGGTAGTGAGAGAGAGGGAAACATCGATGTCAAAGAGACACATCGAGTGGCTGCCACCCACACGACCAATCAGGGCCGGGGACAAACTGCAACCGAGGTACGTGCCCTTAGCGGGAACCAAACCCGGGTCTCTCCGGACCGCAGGCGGACGCTCCAACCGCTGAGCCAAACCGGCCAGGGCAGAATATTTCTTTTCTATAGAACATTTTTTCTTTACATGTGTCTAATAAAATGGATTAGCTGTAGGTTATGGGTTTTTTTTTCTTTCTCTCTTTTTTTTAAATCCTCATCCAAGGATATTTTTCTATTTATCTTCATATAGAGTGGGAGAGAGGGAGAGAGAAACATCAATGTGAGAGGGACACATCTACTGGTTGCCTCCCACACAACCTGGACCAGGGTTGGGGACAAACTACCACTGAGGTACAAGCCCTTCACCGGAATAGAACCCGTGACTCATTGGTCCGTGGGCTGACGCTCAAACCACCAAGCCAAACTGGCCAGGGCTGTAGCTTGTGTTTTTGTTTCATCAATTGTTTCACAATTAGGGGACTAGGACACTAAATAGTTGTGGCCACGTAGATAAGATGTGTCCATTTCTCATGTCTTTCTACTTCATATTTACCATTTCTTCAGGCAAGTTACTTCTTATCCATTATATAAGACTCCTTAGTTGCTAGAAGAACCATATCAGCAAGTTCTGTGAGGAAGACCTCATTATAATCTGTGTATTTAGTATTCCTGGTACCTGAACGTCCAGCTATTCATATTAATTAATGAGTCTCAAAATAATCTCAAAAACCCCAGTTACTCCTTCCCAAATTGCTCTAAGTTCTCTATTCATTCTTGATGGTATAGTCCATTTTTGGCACCTTATATTAGGCCCCCAACTCTTTCCTTATATAGTAAGTCCTCAATGTCCTCATTAGTTTCTGCAACTTTAAGTGAAATGACATATAATGAAACCAGTTTTACTATAGGCTAATTGATATAAACAAAAGTTAAGTTCCTATGCACCCCTTCAACATTATAATGAAATGCTATTTGAGGACCTGCTGTGAACAAAGTTGGGTAAAGAAGAATAGTTTTATTTTTTCTGTGTCTGCAAGCTTTCATCAGGCCAGTTGAGGAAAAGCACGTTTCCTTTCCTACCAATAGTCTCACCCCTTGGAATAACTCTTCTTGTTAGTGGCATTTTTTTTTTTTTTTTGGTAAGTGCCCCTAGCGGGAACTGAACCCAGGACTTACTGGTCCACAGGTTGACGCTCCAACCACGGAGCCAAACCAGCCAGGGCATTAGTGGCACTTTTAAAAAGCAATTATTAATGAAAAAAATTAAATAGTTGACTTTTGCCTAAGAAGCAAAAGTTGTTTATAATATCTTTATTTTTACTTATTTGTTTTTTAAAATCTTTATTGTTGAATGTATTACAGATGTTACTCATTTTTCCCCCGTTAACTCCCTCCTCCTGACTCCTGCCCCCCTCCTCCCCACTCTCGCCCTCCTCCTGCCTTTTCCCACACTATTGTCTGTGTCCATTGGTTATGCATATAAGTTCTTTGGTCTATTTCTTCCCACCCCCCAACCCCTTTCCCTTTGAGGTTTGTCAGTCTAGCAGTGAATTTGTACTTCTTAATCCCTTCACCTTTTTCACCCATTCCCCCAACACCCCTCCCATCTGGCAACCAACAAAATGTTCTCTGTATCTATGAGAATGTTTCTGTTCTGCCTGTTCATTTTGTTTGTAGATTCCATTGTCAATAGATATGTATTCATTGCCGTTTTGTTTGTTCATATATTTTATCTTTTTCTTCAAAAAGACCCTTCATCATTTCATATAATAACGGTTTGGTGGTGATAAACTCCTTTAACTTTTTCTTGTCTGGGAAACTCTTTATATGGTCATTGATTCTAAATGACAGCTTTACAGGATAGAGTAATCTTGGTTGTAGATTCTTGCTTTTCATCACTCTGAATATTTCTTGCCACTCCCTTCTGGCCTGCAAAGTTTCTTTTGAGAAATCAGCTGACAGTCTTATGGGAACTCCCTTGTAGGTAACTAACTGCTTTTCCCTTGCTACTTTTAAGATTCTCTCTTTGTCTTGAACCTTTTGCATTTTGATGATGATGTGTCTTGGTGTGGGCCTCTTGGGGTTCATCTTGATTGGGACTCTCTGTGCTTCCTGGACTTGTATGTCTGTTTCCTTCACCAAGTTAGGAAAGTTTTCTGCCATTATTGTTTCAAACAGGTTTTTGATTTCTTGTTCTCTCTCTTCTCCTTCTGGTACCCCCAAGATGCGAATGTTGGCACGCTTGAAGTTGTCCCAGAGGCTCCTTACACTCTCCTCATTTTTTTGGATTCTTTTTTCTTTTTGCTGTTCTGATTGGGCGTGTTTTGCTTCCTTATATTCCAAATCGATGGTTTGCTTCTTGGTTTTACCTACTCTACTAATGAATCTGTGTAAATTATTCTTTATTTCAGTTAGTGCCTCCTTCATTTCTGTCTGGTCCTTTTTTATGCTCTTGAGGCCCTCACTAAGTTTGCTGAGGTTCTCACTAAGTTCATTGAGCATCCTTATAAGCAGTATTTTGAACTCAGTATCTGTTAGGTTGCTTATCTCTATTTCGCTTAGTTCTTTTCCTGGGGTTTTGTTCTGTTCTTTCATTTGGGACCTGTTTCTTTGTCTCCTCATTTTGGCCGCCTCCCTGTGTTTGTTTCAGTGTATTACTTAATGAGAGGTATGGGGCTAGCTGAGACCAGATGCTGCTTGTTTGAAAGAATTTAGGAAAACCTGAAGCAGGATCCAAGACAGGCCAATCCTATGGTTAAGCAACTGGCAACAGCTTGGGTGGGCCTGAAAGTTGGGTGGGGCGGGGCTACCAGTGTGAGCCAGGTTGCTGGAGTCCCAGATGTGGCGGCTGTCTACCACCCCAGGGAAGGGCTCACCAAAGGAACAAAGGCCTCTGACAGCACGTTTGTCCCCGAGAAAGCCCCCTCTCCAGCCCTCGCTCCAGTGCCAAACAGCTCAGTTCTTCCCTGTATGTCTCTGGCGCCCGTGGAGCTGCCTCCCCTCCAAGCTCAGAGGGAGAGAGTCCGATAAGTCCGTGCACGGGCCCTTTAGGGAGCTGCCTGGGGCTCCAGCCGCCTCAGCTTCCCTGAGCCTCAGTTCCCGCTGGTTTTTCCAGCCAGAAGTTGTGGGGACTTCTTTACCAGGCACTAGAACCCTGAGCGGGGCACCTGGTGTGGGACAGAGACCCCCTCAATCCTCAGGGAGGACGTTCCCAGCCCAGGTGTCCTCCTGATTTTTATCCGCCACACGTGGGTGTGGGACCAGCCCGTCCACCTCCGGCCCTCCTACCAGTCTCCATGTGGCTGCTGCTTTAATTCCGTAGTTGTAGGACTTCCATTCAGCTGGATTTCAGGTGGTTTTGAATGATGTTTGTTCTGTAGTTTAGTTGTAACTTTGATGTGGTTGTGGGAGGACGCGATACCGCGTTTACCTAATCTGCCATCTTGACCGGAAGTCCTATCTTTACTCTTAAATAATGGCTTAATTTTTTAGCTTGGGACTTGGTACTTTCCTATTCTGAGATATCTCAGATCCATAATAATTTCTACGTATTATATAAGCTCTTGTTTGCCAAAGATTAAAAATAGTATATGTCCAGTACCTTCCTTTCCATCTCGGTGGATATTTTCTCATATTCTTGCATGTTTTTTTCTTGCTATTATGTTCCTTATTTTGCTTTTATCCATAGAATTGATGGCTTTCTATTTGGAATGTTCCAACTGCTATTTTATTTTCTTGCCTTTGGCCCTAATTTGTTTGATATATATGTAAGAATGAGCAAGAATGCAAAGCTTACTTTTTTTTTTTTTGCTAATTAAAACATGAAAATAATTTGGGGTTTAGACTATAATAAATTTTATTTTTCTTTTATTCACAAAAGTAAGTAAAATAAAAAATACAGAAAACTAGAAGAAAATAGTGATTTATAGTCTACCACGCAATGAATATGTTTCTTTGTGTTCCTTTATCTTTTACCCATGCATATGTGTTTATGTAGTTTAAACTTGTGATCATGTATTGATAATAATATGACAGTTACTATATATATTTTAAATAGACTTGGATCGTGGTCTTCAGTTTGGCTGGGAATGCATTTTTATCATTTTAAATATATATATTTATAGGTTCAGTAAATATTAAATGGATGAATTCTTGCTCGTGTTTGTGCCTCAATTTTCTCACTTCTAGGTGGGAAAACTAATTCACAAGGATTTTGTGTGAGGATTAGTGGAACACTGTAAATGTTCAAAGCAGATAGGTCTTGTCATAACTCTGCTGGCTATAACGTAAAAATGTTTTCCTAGAGAGCACTGCTGGAGAAGAAGCAGAGGAAAAAGCGCCTTGAGCCACTCATGGTACAGCCAAATCCAGAAGCCAGGCTACGTCGGTCAAAACCAAGAGGTAGTGAGGAGCAAACTCCTTTGGTGGAACCTCATACCCCTCACAACAGTGTCACTTTACACGGTGTGTATTTAGGCAGCCTCTCTTACTGCTGGGGTGCAGTGTTTACAAACCCAGAAGAAGGCAGGAGGATTCTTAGATGGATCAAAGAAACAATATTAGCATCATCACTAGGTACATTACAATGTACCTTCATACATTTTTATAATCAAATTCTGGGTCTTTGGGTTAGAATAAAAGCAATGGTCTAATCAGTAGAAGATACCATAGAGTTTATGTCCACCCTAGAACTGCTATTTTTAGATGCCAAATGAATTAGTCCAGAATAGCCTATTTGAGGAGCTCACAGTCTTGATTTTTACATCTTGGCAGCGTTAACTTTGAAGCCAGGAGTAGGTAGAGAGAATCTATTCTTCCAAAAGATAGGACTCAAAGGATCATCTGAGATGATGAGAGGAAGAAGGAAGAATATGATTGAGAGTCTCTAAATCAAGACCCCTGAGCTATTGACCAGTATGGGATTTGAACTTCAAAGGACCTACTTTGTTTTCATAGTCTCATTTTTAAGTTTCTCAAGGCAACATCAAGTAAAATTCACTTGAGTAAGAGTCAGAGCATATTAATAAAATGAACACCAGTCCTGGATTATTCTGTTAACAAATGTCCTTGTGGATGTTAAGGAAAGAAGCGAGGTGAAATGGTTTGGTGGTTCTTAATTCTGATTGTGTACACCAGACCCACACAGCTAAATAGTGGATTATGCTTTCTCTCTTTCTTTTGGCCCCAAGGCATTGATGGTCCAGCTGCTTTCCTCAGGCAAGATACTCAAGATTCCGAAACCAGACTTCATGTTCTCTCAGTTGGCTCTTCTGCTACAGAAGAGGACACTGAAGGAAGTGTTGATGGGGAAAGCACTTTGGATACTGCTTCCAAACCCGATCTTCAGGAGATTCTCCAGAAACACGGTGAGGATTGGTCCTGATTTTAATTAATTGTCTTAGTCATTTATAATCTTTACTTTCTTTCATTGTTGATTAACAATGAAGATGACTCAAAATTTTTTGTAATGTGGATCAGAGCTTTGCAGAGGTGACAGTGTTAGGCATCTTTGACATCTGAGAGCTGGTCATTGTCAACAATAGTAGTAGTTATCCTGTTGCCTAAGAAAAATAAGAAATCAAATGTGAAATAGCAGCATTAGCTACTATATATATGACTATTTTTCTTTTTGATATATTATTTATTTTTAGTTCTTACCCTCTTCTTTTGACAAGGATGCCACTCAGCGACCCCTACTGTGCCTCCATTTCACAGTTTATATTGATATAGTTATAAGGGAAAAGAGAAATAGCCTAATAGAAGCACAAATTGGCTCAAAATACATTTAAGCTAATACTTTTTTCACTAGAGCCTACTTTCTGCCAGTTGAAGTTACCATTTCCATAAATATTCCCATATATTTTATTTATTTAGTTAGTTTATTAATTTTTAGAGAGAGAGAAACATTGAAGTGAGAGTGCAACATCCATCAGCTGCCTCCTGCACATGCCACACTGGGGATCGAGCCCACAACCTGGGCATGTGCCCTTGCTGATCCAGCAACCTCATGGTGCGCAGGAAGAGGCCCAACCAACTGAGCCACACTGGCTATGGCCTGTACATTTTAGACATCCTGTTTAGTCTTCTTTCTGTCTGTCTGTCTTAGAAAATAATTTTGTAGGAGAAGGAATTAAGTGTCTCCTTTTCAGATGAGAAGGCTTAAGCTCAGTATAAACAAATATTTATTGGGTGCCCACTTTGCAATAGGTAGGCGTTGTTAGATCCTGGGCTATACGAATCAGAAGATTGTACCACAGAATGGTAGAATAGATGTACATTCAAACAAATTCATATATTCATATCAGGCATTGTTCTAGGCACTTAGGATATGATAGCAGACAAGGTTTCTGCCCTTGTAGAGCATTTATTCTGATTAAGACTTCATGCACTTAAAAAGCCAAGAGAGCGTGCAGAATGGTGCCTAACTCAGAGCTGCAGGTTTGGAAGGCTTTCCAGAGAAAGGGACGTGTAAACTAGAGCCTGAAGCAGGAAGAGGAGCGGCAAGTTCAGAATGGCTGGAGCTGAGAGTAAGATGTGATGAAGTTGGGAAGGGGGATGTAGAGAGGTGAGTCTGGAGAGGTGAGTGGGCTCTGATTATATAGGACATTATAGGCCACATTTGGAATTTGGACTTTATCTGAAGAATAATAGGAACTGATGAGGGATTTTAACCTGAGAAATGTTATCAGATTTGGGCTGTAGAAAAATGACTCAGCACCATGAAGAATGAATTGGAGGTGGGGCAGGTCTGGAAAGCAGGACAACAACTTAGGAGATGGTTTGGCTGATATCCGGTCCTAAAGTTATAATATTGGTGTATGCCAGAGTAAAAATCAAAGAGAGAGAATTACACTGCCAGGATGAAAAAGGGACAAGAAAGACAACAAAAGGAGGTTAAGCTGAACTGTGAAGGACGCAGGTCCTCCTGTGCACTGGTGTCACCTGTGCAAGCAGCTAGAGACTGAGAATGTCTTTGGTATGTCAGGCATTAGACATACATTACCTCAGTTGATTTAATACTTGTAACAGTACTTTGAGGGGTTTATATACATTAGCCTCTCCATGTTACATGTAAGAAAATGTTTTCTCAGAGAGAGGCTGAGTAATTCGTCTAGATCACACTGGTAGTTTAGATGGCAAACTTTGGCAGAAGAATAACAGGCAAAGGCGTTGCCTACAAAAACGTGGTATGTTTCTGCAAACTGGGACAGATTACCCGAGTGTGGGGTGTGGCTAAGGCAGTGTAGTGAAATGAATTAGAGCATGGCTCTGGAGCCATCTTGCTTGGTTTTGAATTTCGACTCTGCCACATCTGTCTGGGAAAGAGGGAAAACACCTTAACTTTTCTCTGTCTCAGTTTCTTGTCTGTTAATAGGAATGTGACCATGGTGCTTAGCTATTACTTTACTACCACTATTTTTACAACAAGAGAAAGAGCAAAGAGAACTTTTCAGTTTGACCCAAAACTAAATTACTTACTCCAAGCCATCTACTGAATAGTGTAGACCTAGACTTTCTGATCCTTAATCTAGTTCTTTCTCCCTTACGTTCTAGTTCTTTCTCCTTCACTGCCCTAAGTGACTGCTGTGTTCTTTCTCATAATTGGCCTTTCAGTGCCAGATACACCCATGACTTTTATGTCTCCACAGTTAGCATCTCGCCATAAAACCCATTAAGTGCTCTCTTGATTGGGATCTAAGACACGCTAGTTCGGCAGATTATGTTCCTTAAGTGGATGCAGTTTGCTTGTCTTACAAGTTTGGGAGAAATCTTTGGTCTCCATCTTAAGATATATATTCATATAAACTGAGTTCTTGGTATAAAAATGGCATAAACTGAGTTCTTGGTATGAAAATGGCATTTCAGCCCAGCCGTTGTAGCTCAGTGGTGTAGTGTCGACCCATGCAACAAGAAGTCACTGGTTCTGTTCCTCGTCAGGGCACATGCCCAGGTTGTTGTTCGCCCAATCCCCAGTAGAGGGCATGCAGGAGGCTGCCAGTCGATGTTCTCATCCACGTTTCTATATCTCTCTCTCCCTCTTCCTTCCTGTCTCTCTAAAAATAAAAATTTTTTTAAAGTGAAAAGTTTATCATTTTTTTTAATTCTTTTTTTATTCTCACCCAAGAACATTTTTTGATATTTTGTTCAGATAGAGTGGGAGGGGGAGAGAGAAAGAGAGAAACATCAACGTGAAAGGGACACATCGAGTGGTTGCCACCCACACGACCCACCCAGGGCCGGGGACAAACTGCAACCGAGGTACATGCCCTTAGCAGGGCCCTGGCCGGTTTGGCTCAGCGGTTAGAGTGTTGGCCTGCGGTCTGGAGAGACCCGGGTTCAGTTCCCACTAAGGGCACATACCTCGGTTGGGTTGTGTGGGTGGCAGCCGCTCGATGTGTCCCTTTCACATTGATGTTTCTCTCTCTCTCTCTCTTCCTCTCTCTCCTTCCTACTCTATCTGAACAAAAAATGGAAAAAATGTCCTCAGATGAGGATAAAAACAAAAAAAAACACATGCCCTTAGAGGAACCGAACCCAGGTCTCTCCAGACCGCAGGCCGACGCTTTTAAACGCTGAGCCAAACCGGCCAGGGCAAGTTTTTAAAAAGTTTTTAATTTTCTGTAAGAGATGCTTCATAAACCCAAAATAATAGTATTTCAGACATTCTCAACTTGAATTAATTAGACTAGAAATGAACAAAGTGTAGGGAAAAAAGTGACTGACACAGAGAACAATGGGTCATTGAATTTTTTTTATTATGATAAAATACACATAACAAAATTTACCATTTTAATCATTTTGTGGCAGTTCTGTGGCATTAAGTACATTCACATTATTGTGCAACTATTATCACTACCCATCTCCAAAACTTATTCATCATCTCAAAATAAAACTCTGCCCATTAAATAATAAGTCCCCATTCCTCACTCCTCAGCCTCTGATAACCACCACTGTACTTTCTGTCTCTATGAATTTGACTATTCTAGGTACTTCATGTAAATAGAATTATAACAGTATTTGTCCTTTTGTGTTTGACTTATTTCACTGAGCGAAATGTCTTCATTATTCATCCAGGTTGTGGCATGTATCAGAATTTCATTCCTTTTTATGGCCGAATACTAGTCCATTGTATGTATATACCACAATGTGTTTATCTGTTCATCAATTGATGGATGTTTTAGTTGGTTCCACCTTTTGTTTTTTTTATCCTCACCCGAGGACATTTTTCCATTTTTTGTTCAGGTAGAGTGGGAGGGAGAGAGAGGAAGAGAGAGAGAGAAACATTGACGTGAAAAGGACACATTGAGTGGCTGCCACCCACACGACCAACCAGGGCCGGGGACAAACTGCAACTGAGGTACGTGCCCTTAGCGGGAACCGAATCCGGGTCTCTCTGGACCGCAGGCTGACGCTCTAACCGCTGAGCCAAACCGGCCAGGGCAGTTCCACCTTTTGAATATTGTGAATAATGCTTCTATGAACATTGGTGCACAAGTATCTGTTTGAGTCTCTGCTTTCAGTTCTTTTTTTTTTATTCCTCACCTGAGGATATTTTTCTGCTTATCATCAGATAGAGTGGGAGGGAGGGAGGGAGGGAGGGAGAGAGAGAGACTGAGAGAAACATTGTTGTGATAGTCACATCAACTGGTTGCCTCCTGCACGACCCAACCAGGTCTGGGGACAAACTGCAACTGAGGTCTGTGCCCTTGACCGGAATTGAACCCGCGACTCATTGGTCCACAGGCCGACACTCTAACTGCAGAGCCAAACCGGCCAGGGATGCTTTCAGTTCTTTTGTGTATATACTCGGAAGTGGAATTACTGGATCATATGGTAACTCTATATGTAACTATTTTAGGAACCACTATAATGTTTTCCATAGTGGCTGCACCATTTTACATTGCCACCAGCAACGCACAAGGGTTCCAATTTCTCTGCATCCTCACCGACACTTACTTTGTTTTTTTATAATAGTCATCCCAATAGATTATGAAGCAGTGTCTCATTTTGATTTCGATTTGCATTTCCCTAATGACTAGTGATGTTAAGCATCTTTTCATATGTTTATTGGCCATTTATGTATCTTCTTTTGAGAAATGTTTATTGAAGTGCTTTACCTATTTTTGAACTGGTTTTGTTGTTAGTAGTTGCAGGAGTTCTTTATATAGTCTAGATATTAATCCTTTATCAGACACATATTTGCAAATATTTTTTCTGTATACATAATATTTTCTTTTTCCTTTATTGATTTGAGAGAGAGAGAGGAAGTGATAGGGGGGGAGAGAGAGAGAGAGAGAGAGACATCGATGATAGAGAACATCTGGCCGCCTCCTGCGTGCCCTGCCCCCCACTTGGGATCGGGCCCACAACCTGGGCATGTGTCCTGACTGAGAATCTAACTGGAGACCCCTTGGTGCATGGGTCGACGCTCAACCACTGAACCACACCAGCTGGACTGTATACGTGTTTTAAAGAGCTAAATTAGGGTGACAACAGTGGGAAGGAAAGACAAGGGATTTTTCTGAGTAAGAATATAAAGAAAGAATTGTGAAAATTTGGATAAAGTAGTTGTGTTTTAACTCAGAATAGCTTGGAATGTTTTAAACAAGAAAATTAAAATTTTCTGTGGTTTGGAGATTTCTTTTTTAAATTGGTTTTGTTGACAGTTCTTCCTTTTCTTCCAGGTATCTCAGGTAGTTTGAACTTTGATGAGGAGACTGGGGAGGAAGAAGAAGGAAAAAAATTAAGATCTCATTCACCATGTTCAGAGGCAGGGAGACCCAATTCTGCATCCAGCCAGAAATCAACCACAGTATGTAGTTCTGAAACGTCTTCCTTTGGAGCTAATTTAACTATTTCCCAAATATATCTTCAGTATTTAAATACCATTAATGAGGGCTGCTTCAAAAGATTTAAGCTCAAATCTAGACTTAAAGTTCATGATCTCTCTAAGTTTTGTGACTTAAGCCAGTGACTTAAGCCAGCTACTTATGAAGCTATATCCCATTTTCATACTTAGCTCCTTCATTACTCCTAATATTTATTTACTTACTTAACTTCTCAGAATTTTTCATTATTTTGTCAGAAGACTGAAGACTTAGGGATAAATCAGTAAGTTATTTTATCCATTAAATGTTTCTCAAAGAGAGTATGAGGTGTTTCTGACCTACTGCCTATTGCTCAGGTATGGCTGTTCTTTCAGGATACAGGAGCTTCTGGTACTTCAGCCCAACAAACTGATAGCCAGCTGGGGGAAGTAGAGAATTTAGAGGACTTTGCTTATAGTCCTGCCCCCCGAGGTACCACAGTCAAGTGTCGGATAACCAGGGATAAAAAAGGAATGGATCGGGGTCTCTTCCCCACTTACTATATGCACTTGGAAAAGGATGAAAATCGGAAGGTATGGAAATTGATTCTTTTTCTATTATTATTATTGATTTTTAGAGAGAGAGAAACATTGATTTGTTGTTCCACTTATTTATGCATTCATTGATTGATTCTTGTACGTGCCCTGACAAAGGATCAAACTTGCAACCTTGGCGTATCGGGACAACACTCTAACCAGCTGAACTACCCGGCCAGGGCAAGAATTGATTCTTAGGACAAATCATGAGAGAGAAGGGAAGAATGTGAGAATAGACTGTTGATGGGTCTTGTGATAGGGGAACAGCACTGATACTAGACCAAATCAGCTGGAAGTAGATTGTATTTATTAATTGCCAGGTGCTGTGTTCTCTCTGTCTTCAAAGATCTCATAGTCTAATAGGCAAAATCTTCCCCCACCCCAAAGAAAAAAGTTATATCTGGAATGGAAGAGAGTATTTGAATGTAATTATTTTCACCTTCAACCCTTTTTGGGGGTGAGGGAGTGTTACTGTGTGCTCTTTGGTTTTTGTTTTTATTATGGTAGAACATGACACTGTGGAAGAAAGAGCAAGTTTTAGGGAATAGGAGGAATTGGAAATATAAAAGAGCATACAAGTGAAAAGTATTTTTTCTCACCCTAGAAATTCTAATTTACTTTGTACCTAAGTTTGAAACAGTTTCTTTCATACTTGCTAATACACAGTGTATCTTGTATTGATACCAGGTCTAAGTGGATGATTTTAGGATCCTAGAAATTAGATGATGCTAATAGATATGATGGTTATTTTAACCACTAGTTATTGAGTGTTTATGATGTACGAGGTATGTGCTAAATGCTTTATATATATTATCACCTATAATATTTATGATAACCTGGTAAGATAGGATTTATATCCCTGCTTTATGAACAATGTAACTGGGGTTTAGGAAGTGATATCCTGTCCCAGATCACACCAGTAAGTGGCAGAGCCAAATTCGAACACACATCTATTTGATTCCAAAGTCTCCCCTTAGCTACTGCCATTCTTCTGCTTCCCCATTATTGCCCAAGTCCAGTAGGGTTTAGCAAGGAAGCATAAATGTGAGAGTATTCATGTCACTGAAGTCACAGTATTTTTAAAAATACAAAGAAAACCGCCCCCAAAATACAAAAAGGAGTATTAAGAATACAATGGCAGTAAAGAATGGGAAGGGTAGGTATTCAGGATCCGGTCTCTCCTAAAGTGGGAAAGACTCATTCATGGAATTGGATGAAGCCTTTTAAAAAAGTCACTAGAGCCCTGGCCAGTTTGGCTCAGCGGTTAGAGTGTCAGCCCTCGGACCAGAGAGTCCTGGTTCGGTTCCTGCTAAAGGCACATACCTTGGTTGGGGCAGCCACTCGATGTGTGTCTCTCATATCGATGTTTCTCTCTTTCTCTTTCTCCCTCTCTCCCTCCTGCCCTCTCAGAAGATGGATGCAAAAATGTCCTCTGGTGAGGATAAAAATAAATATAATTTAAAAAATAAATAGAATAAAAAAGTCACTAGAGGTTTTAGGGATAAAGTTGCAAATAATTATATAGAGAACCATGCTAGTGACTTTAGAAAAGTTGAATAGTGAATTCTGAGAAGCATTGTGAGGGTCGGGAAAAGGGATAAAGACCCATAGATTGGCCCTAGCTTGTTTGGCTCAGCAATAGAGCATCGGCCCACGGACCAGTCGCAGGTTCAATTCTGGTCAAGGGCACGTACCTCAGTTGCAGTTCAGTCCCTGGCCCTAGTTGGGGTCATGTGGGAGGCAACCAGTTGTGTCTCTCTTACATCTATGTTCCTCTCTCTCCTCCCTCCCCCCTCACTCCCTATCTGAAGATAAATGGAAAAATATCCTCAGGAGAGGATTTAGAAAAAAAGACCCACATACAGTATCAGTCTTCTCTGAGAAAATGCCAAATGGTGATGACACCAGTGCTGAGATAGGGTGAGACTCTGGGGGCCATGGTGGGAGGCCTTGGTGACTTCTGTCTAGGGTAAGGATTGAGGCCATGGAGTTCTTGAGGCAAGGACAAGGACAAGGGGTGATGCCCTTCACTAAGCCGAGTCATCTAGTCAAGGACGTGAAGATGAAGTCCCTGGAGGAGATCCATCTCTTCTGCCAGCCCATCAAGGAATCTGAGATTGTTGGTTTTTTTCCTGGGAACATTTCTCAAGGACGAGGTTTTGAAGATTATGTCCATGTACAAGCAGACTCAGGCTGGCCAGCAGACCAGGTTTAAGGCATTTGTCACCACCGGGAATCACAACAGACATGTTGGTCAGGGTGTTGCCTGCGACAAGGAAGTAGCCACTGCCGTCCATGGGCCATCGTGCTGACCGAGTTCTCCATAGTCCTCGTGTGGCGAGGCTACTGGAGGAACAGGACAGCAGGGCCCACACTGTCCCTTGCGAGGTGACTGGGCAATGCTGCTCTGTGCTGGTGGCCTCATCCCCACCACCAGGGGCACTGGCATTGTCTCAGCCCCTGGGCCCAAGGCGCTGCTGCTGGACGGCCTCCGGGACTGCACCCCTCGGGCAGGGGCTGCACTGCCGCCCCCGGCAGCTTTGCCGAGGCACCTCTGATGCCATCGCCACGACCTCCTGCTGCCTCACCCGCCTCTGGGAAGAGACCGTGTCTCCCAAGTCTCCGCAGCAGGAATTCACTGAGCATCTTGCCTTTTTTAAAATCCTTACTCGAGGACTTTTTTGCATCTATGTTCAGCTAGAGTGGGAGGGAGAGAGAGAGAAACATTGATGTGAGAGAGACACATCGAGTGGCTGCCACCCACACGACCCCAACCAGGGCCGTGGAAAAACTGCAGTCGAGGTACATGCTCTTAATGGGAACCAAACCCAGGTCTTTCTGGTCCACGGGCCTGTGCTCTAACCGCTGAGCCAAACCAGCCAGGGCTCACTGACCGTCTTCTAAAGATCCACTCCAGAGTCTCCATGCAGAGGACGCAGGCTTCAGATGTGGCCACACATAGTTTTTTTTTTTTTTTTTTAATCCTCACCCGAGGACACTTTTTCATTCTTTGTTCAGATAGAGCAGGAGGGAGAGAGAGAGAGAGAAACATCGATGTGAAAGGGACACATCGAGTGGCTGCCACCCGCACGACCAACCAGGGCCAGGGACAAACTGCAACCGAGGTACATGCCCTTAGCGGGAACCGAACCCGGGTCTCTCCGGACCACAGGCCAACGCTCTAACCACTGAGCCAAACCGGCCAGGGCTATACAAGAAAATTAAAGTGAATTAAGCATGTTTAATGACAAAATAAAAGATTTGACTGCTTGGTATTTGATAGGCACTGCTAAACATTTACTAAGTGAGCAGGTAGAACAAACTGTAGAGATTCTCTTGACTTCAATTGACTGATCTTTTTTTCTTTCTCCAGATATTTCTTCTGGCAGGTAGAAAACGGAAAAAGAGCAAAACATCCAACTACCTTATCTCCACTGATCCCACAGATTTATCCCGTGAAGCAGAAAGTTATATCGGCAAACTCAGGTGAAAGCATCCTTGTATCATTGTCCTATGCTTTCTGATACTTTTATTCCTATTGTAAAAATAATATAAATGGAGACAAAGTTGCCATCCCAAAGGAATTGACTTGCCTGTCTTATGCTTCAAACCTTTGGAATGTTAAAACAGGACTAAATAACCTTTGGACTGGGCCTAAAACAGTATCGTGCAAAGATAGCGAGAAAGCAGATATGATGGCTACTGGACTGAACATTTTAAAAATTGCTTAGAATTAGTGTCACTGTGTTTGCTCATCTGCACCAGTAGCAACGCCTTCCGTGTATGGAGGTCATTGTTCCCCTTCCCTCTCTCGTAACTCCCCCTCGCCTTTGTCTCCTAGTGGGACGCTGTTGGGGCCTCTGCCTGAGTCAGAGCTTCCCAAATAGCTGTGCTTTTTCTAATCTCAAATAAACGCTTGTTGCCTCTTTCTGTGGCCTTTTATTTTTAGGTTAACACTGTAGTTTCAGAATAATCCACATCTTTTTTACAATGAGTATATATTAATGTTGTAATCTAAAGCAAAAGAATTGAAAGAAAATCTAGGGGAGTCGAAGGCCTGTTCCTGTCTCCCCCTGACTCCACCTCCCCTGGAGGCGGAAACCCCCAGGTGCCTGTGGGATGAAAAAAAAAATCTAAGTCCTTTAATTGTTTTAATGAGAGATCTTTAAGAAAGTGATGAGGAACATTTAGTCGTTTGGAAAACAGGCAGATATTCTGTTACATACCTCTCCTAGATTGTGTTTGTGTAAAAGAAAAAATATAGATCATTATGGTGACTTTTTCTTTTGATTCTAGATCCAACCTCATGGGGACCAAGTTTACAGTTTATGACCACGGCGTCAGCCCAGCCAAGGCCCAAGGCCTGGTGGAAAAGGCCCACACCCGGCAGGAGCTGGCAGCCATCTGCTACGTAAGTGTTGTCCTCGGAATGGACTCTTCCTTCATTTCCTGACGTCCTGCAGGCACTTCAAACTTAAACTACTGAACTCATCATCTTCCCTCCCAAGCTTGTTTTTGTTTCTATGATCCCCCTATTCTGTTGCTGGTATCATTTTCTCTATATATTTAAGTTTTAATTGTTTATAAATTGCTAAGTTCATTTATTTTTGTTTTTTTACTGTTTTAATGCGTTTTACCTTATCTTTTCCTAATGCCATTGGATTAACATAGACCTTCATTACCTCTTAATCCATTGGCCAGAGGCTATAATAACTTACAAATTGAGGTCTGCTTTCAGTCTTTTTCTGTCTGGCTCCTTCTGGACTGCTGCCAGAGAAATCTTCCTGAAACAACTGCAGCAGACCCTGCTGCTCTCCTGCCTCAGATAGTGCGTGACTGCCCACGTGTGCAGAGCAGAGCCCTAACACGCCGCCTCTCCTCTCGGACTGTTCGGGGGCACTTCCCCCTCGCAGGCCTGTCCTTCTGGCACACAGCCCTCCTGTCAGCCTTCGCTCCACCATATGGTCTTCCCTCTCCTGAGAGCCTTCCCTTTTCCTCTCTTGTCATCAGAGAAGTCTTTCCTGACCGCTAGGTGTGGGTGACATTACTTTGTATACATCCCCTTGGCACCCGGTGTTTCTTCTCCAAGTTGTTTGATCCCAGAGTCTCAACATTGAAACTATGCATGACTGTCGTGTGTGTACGTGTGTATGTATGAATACACACACAAACATATATCTACTTTTCTTAAGTGCCTATTTTATTCATATATAATCTGCCTGGCTTGACAGGCATGTGAGTTTTTACCTCCTGATATAGGCCCCATTTAATTTACACTGTAATTCTCAGTGTAGATCATCGAGTACCATGCCCTCCTTGGGAAATAAATATTTATTGATAACAAAATTGAACGGTTTGCTCACAGTTGTCTCAAAGTTCATTTAAGATTAAAAAGTAATTTAAAAAAAAGATTAAAGAGTAAGAGTAAATTTTCAAGCTAATATAACCTATTTTAAATTCAAATGTTCAAATTCGTTTTAAAAAGAGGAATAGCCTGGCCAGTGTGGCTCAGTGGATTGAGCATCGTCCCAGGGACTGAGAGGTCCTCGTGCGATCCCCAGTCAGGGCACATGTCCAGATGCGGGCTCCATTCCCAGTGTGGGCTGTGCAGGACGCGGTTGATCGACATTCCTCTCTCACATCGATGTTTCTATCTCTCTCTCCCTTCCTCTCTCTCCAAAAAGTTAATGAAAACATATTTTTTTTTAAAAAAAAAGAAGAATACAGTTACTTTCCTGGTCTTTATTTTCTGTATTTATTTATTTTGTTAATTCTCACCAGAGGATATCATTCCATTGATTTTTGATAGAGTAGAAGGGAGGGAGGGAGGAAGAGAGAGAGAGCGAGAGACAGAGAGAGACAGAGAGAGAAACATCAATGTGAGAGAGACATATCGATTGGTTTGCCTCCTTCATGACCCCGACTGGGGCCAGGGATCAAACTTGCAATCCAGGTACGTGCTCTTCACTGGAATCGAACCCGCAACCTTTTGGTCCAAGGGCCAGTGCTCTAACTGCTGAGCTAGACTGGCCAGGGCGGTCTCTCTTTGTTTAAACTATAGTAATAATAAAACAGTTTTAGGCCCTGGCCAGTTTGGCTCAGCGGTTAGAGCGTCGGCCTGCGGTCCGGAGAGACCCGGGTTCGGTTCCCGCTAAGGGCATGTACTTCGGTTGCAGTTTGTCCCCGGCCCTGGTTGGTCGCGCGGGTGGCAGCCACTCGATGTGTCCCTTCACGTCGATGTTTCTCTCTCTCTCTCCCTTCCTCTCTCTCCCTCCCACTCTATCTGTACAAAAAATGGAAAAATGTCCTCGGGTGAGGATAAAAAAAAAAAAAAGAAAAAACACAAATAAAACAGTTTTAGTACTCTTGATATTGTCAACATTTTACATGCCCAGGTAAGTCTTGAGTCAAGAATGTAGTCTTGTTTTTCTTTCTGTTTCCAAGTTCTGTCTTCTTTACCTATCTTCCAGGAAACAAATGTATTTGGATTTAAAGGCCCTAGGAAAATGTCTGTGATCATTCCAGGGATGAATATGAATCACGAACGGATCCCATTTCGGCCACGAAATGTAAGAACACATTTAATCAGCAAAGGACTCTGAAAGACAAGAGTACATTACAGAAGAGATAATCCAAAAAGTACTGATTCTTCCAGAGCCCCAGACTGGAGTATCGCTTACACTCTTCTTCGGGAGAGCCACTCCGAACCGTAGCACATCGCAGAGCACTTGCTAGAGTGCTCGATGTGCAGCTACTGACCTGCAGAGGCAAATGCTAGATAATCTGTAAGGGTCCAAAACACCAGCCTGATTTTTGGCTTTCTTTGTCCTTTCTAAAATGGAGAAAAGATTCCCCTACTCCACCTTCTCCCTCCCAGAGTTTTGAAAGAATGGTTTCTTATGGTTCTCAGTACAAAGTAATGATTTTCCCTGTGAACAGGAGCATGAGAGCTTGCTTTTAAAATGGCAAAACAAAACCATGGAGAACTTGATTGAGCTGCACAACAAGGCCCCAGTCTGGAATGACGACACGCAGTCCTATGTCCTGAACTTCCATGGCCGGGTCACTCAGGCATCTGTGAAGAACTTTCAGATAGTCCACGAAAATGACCGTAAGCCACAGGAAGGGCTGGGCGGGAATAGGAGGGAGGCCGCTCTTACACGGTGGGGAAGCGAACATTTTCTGTTGCTGACAGGAACCTGTCATCAGGAGAGGGTTATCTAAGAAAGAAATGATTTCTTTGGAAAGACAAAACAACAATGTTATAGTAAAACTTCTGAACCACTGTGTTGAGGAGGACTGAAGAGTGTGAGAGATTTCTTCCTGTGGCCAATCCGAGAAGTCTTTTTTTTTTTTTACTTTTGTTTTGGTACGTGCCCCTAGCGGAAACCGAACCCAGGACTCTCTGGTCCGCAGGCTGACGCTCCAACCGCTGAGCCAGACCAGCCAGGGCCAATCCAAGAAGTCTTAGATGAGGCTGTTTGGGAAGCAGATGTAAATGACCTCACCCTATAAAGGTTCCTGGGCAACTCTAGCTCATGGAGCTTGTGCTGTTCCTAGCAAACTACTCTTGACTTTCCTCTCCTTTGTTCCTTCTATGCTGGGCAGCAGTAGCCTTCCACTCTCAGTTTATAGTTGAGAAGAATCATAATAGAAACTTTATTCATGTTTAGCAGACATTCTTTTATTTTTTATTACTTGTTTATTTTAGAGAGGGAGGAACTAGGAGAGGGAGAGGGAGAGAGAGAGAAACATCGATGAGAGAGAACATCGATTGGCTGCCTCCTGCACGCCCCCCACTGGGGATCAGGCCTACAACCTTGGCGTGTGTCCTGACCAGGAATCAAACCGGCGAACTCTTGGTGCATGGGTCGACGCCCAACCACTGAGCACACCCACCGGACAGCTTTTTTTTTTTTACATGTTTTTATTGATTTCAGGCAGAGGAAGGGAGAGGGAGAGAGAGAGAGAAACATCAATCAGCTGCCTCCTGCGTGCCCCCCACTGGGGATGGAGCCCAGGACCCAGGCAAGTGCCCTGACTGGAAATCAAACCTGTGACCATGTGCATGGGATGAGGCTCAACCAACGGAGCCACACTGGCCGGGCAACAGCCACCCTTGTTAATAACTCTTTCCATTCTTCTAAAAGTTTCCCATTTTAAAGAGACCTGCTGATTAACTAACCTATTTGGAGGATTTTTTTTTCCTGTATCTGGTCAGTATAAGCACATTATCTTCTAATACCATGTTTTCTCTCTACTTCTAGCTGACTATATCGTCATGCAGTTTGGACGTGTGGCAGACGACGTGTTCACCCTGGACTACAACTACCCGCTGTGTGCACTTCAGGCCTTTGCCATCGGGCTTTCTAGCTTCGACAGCAAGCTGGCGTGCGAATGAGACAGACGTGCTAGAGCTGGACCTTCTCACTGCAGAGCTTTCAGGAACAGATAGTTGCCTCCCTTGCTCTTGGCCCAGAATATGAGGAGAGACACGCCCTTTTTGGAATAATCCCTTACACTTTAACATAGGTGAGAAATTACTCAAAGCACAGGAAGGTTCCTGTCCAGAGTACACTGGGGACTCCTGAGGTTATTGCCTCTAACAGATCCTGTGCCTCAAGAGTCAGGTTTCCTGCGCTTGGAAACTTGCAGCTAGAATCAGGTTCTAAAAGTTAAATCCTAGGGTCTGTCTTTTGAAGACCTTTTCAGAGAGGGACTGTTCCCTTAATTGACTTGAGTCTCTAGGTGTGCAAACTTTTTCTGTAAACGGCCAGGTAGTCTGTCTTACAGCTGCTCAGCTCTGTCGTCGTAACAGCCACAGGCAGTTCATACACGAGCAGATGTGGCCGTGTTCCAGCAGCCAGATGTGGCCTGTGGGCTGTAGCTTGCCAACCTCTGTTTCAGGTATATCTCTGTACTCTCTGGACTTGGGCATTTCTGAAATGGGCTTGTAGTCATGAGATGATCTGAGTGGAAGATGGATGGATGTCTCTAGGAAGCAGTAGTCCTGCAGATTGGATCCAGAGGCACTTGGCTGCATTCACTGTTACAAAGCATTACCTTGTTTTGGTGATGATGGTTCCTAGAATATCCTTTACCTTCAGAACTGGGAAACCCAAAGTCCATGATTATTTTGAGAGTCCACACAGGTGGTTTAATTCTGCTACCCTAGCCAGCACCCCCACGGGAGAAGGCAGCCACTCTGCCTGCCCTGACAGAAGAACTAACGCACACTAGGAACAAATCCAGAACTGTATTGTCTTTATCACAGGGAGCGTGGTATCTGATTCTTACAGTTAGCTTATTGTCCCCATGGTGCTTGGAGGTACTGATGTTCCAGTCCTGCTCTTCCCTTTCTTCCTCCAGAGCAGATTGGCTGGCCCCAATCTCAGTCAGAGTGGCTATGCCCAATTTGTGATCAGTGATGTGAAATTTGATACAGTTGTCTTCATTTCAGTTTAGACTGAAAACATAAACCTAAGAGGTGACTTAGTCTGGTTAAGACTGAGTAATTTGACAGTTGCCTTTACTTTCAACCCAGGAGTGCCTCCCACAGCTGCACTGATATTAGTATAGAGGGACACGCCTGTAGACCATGTAAGAAGTGAGAGATCAGTACGTGGTAAAACTTCCCTTGCCATTGTGCAGAGAGGTGGCAGGAGAGGCCTGGTGAGGACTAGCCAGCTGGCTGAGAGCTCTGCAGACCTTGCTGGGCAAAACTCTGGGCCTCTCTTCTCGACACAGATGTTACCAGCCCTGTGAAGTCTGGGCCATTGGTACAGATCAAGCTCCTGTCACTCTTCCACACAGATCATGAGTTTTGCTAAGTCGCTCCGATTATTAGCACCTACCAACAAAACACGACTCTGCTGCCAGCTCACCGGTCTCGGAGTGTACAGAGAATCCAGTAACTGTGTGAGTTCTGCGTTCAGCGTTGCTCAACTCTCAAGCCTTTGTGCGTCGAGCCGTCTGCCAGCATGGAGCAGGCATCAGCGGCTGTTGTTCCATTCTGCTTCCCTTCTGTGGACTTCCTTTTTGTCTGTGCTTCCTGTTGTTCCGGGCTCACGTTGAGTAGCAGTGTGAAGGGAGGAGGTCTGGGAGAGGAAAGACCCTTGGCTCCTCTCCCACTGGAAAGTCTACCTGCCGTGTTTGACATACTGGTTTCCATCTCAGGCATGCTCGCTTCCCGTCATGTGCCTCCTTCGTAGAAGTGCTCAGAGCCCTTCAGACGCCGGCACCACCTTCCTCGTGCACCCTCAAATGAGCTGCCCTCCCTCACACAAAGCTGTTCACTTCTCTCTGCTTGAGTACTTGACAACATCTGGAGAAGGGTGTGTCGTGGGTTGTCCAGATCTAATCCTGCTTTCCGCTTGCTCTGGCTGAGAGACATTTATACCCCAGCTTCATGTACTTGCTGCTCGAATGTGCAGGTGATTGGTTCTACATAAATCATATTTATACCTTTTGTACGCTACAGAAATAAAAAGTAATTTATATAGAAATGGGAGTGGCTCCATTCTTCTTTTGAGTCCCATCCCTTTTATAGTTCCTACTGTCATGTTCTGTAAGAATAATTTTCATCACTTGGCAACTGTGAACTAATCTTCAAGGAAGCTTCACTATAAGCTCTCATCCCAGGGTAGAGCGAGAGCCTGGAGACTGAGAAGTCTGCGTTCCAGGGACTGTCCAGGCTCATCACACACCTCGCCAAGCGTGCTCTGGACGTGACAGCCAAGAGCAGCCAGAGGGCAGGGTTTACCTTGTTCTGGATGCCGGCACTGGTCGTCCTCCTGGGTCCTCTGTGTTGGTATTGCTTCCTGACGGAGCAGAAAAACAAATAGCTAACCGTGAAATAGACCTTATCTCTTTCCATTAAGTGTTCACATTTTAAAGCTACCTTTACATGGACAAGTTGAAAAAAGTACGTGTTCACAAGTCTTTCCTACTCTATCCATGTCAGTGATGAGTTACATGGGAAGCGGCAGGAAGAGCCTAAAGATCAAGATGAAGGCTGGAGTCGAAGTTTAATTCTTTTTTTAAATATTTTTTCTTTATTGATTTTAGAGAGAAAGGGAGAGAGAGATAGAAACATTGATGAGAGAGAACACCGATTGGCCGCCTCCTGCATGCCCCCCACTGGGGATCGGGCCCACAACCTGGGCATGTGCCCTGACCGGGAATCGAACCAGCGACCTCTTGGTGCATGGGTCAACGCTCAACCAGTGAGCCACACTGGCCTGGCTCAAAGTGTAATTCTTACAGCTTTTCACATGATTCTTTTTGGCTAAGGTGTGTGGCTGGCCAAACATTTGTGACCAGTTATATATACTTTTCAGTGACCAAGAATAATATAAATTATTGACATGAATGCTATCAGCAAGTGCTATTTAAAAATCTAAAACAGGCCCTGGCCGGTTTGGCTTAGCGATTAGAATGTCAGCCCATGGACCAGAGAGTCCTGGGTTCAATTCCCGCTAAGGGCACGTACTTCAGTTGCAGTTTGTCCCCACCCTGTTGGGGTTATGTGGGTGGCGACCACTCGATGTGTCTCTCTCATATCGATGTTTCCCTCTCTTTCTTCCTTCCTCTCGTCCTCCCACTCTATCTGAAGATAAAATGCAAAAATGTTCTTGGGTGAGGATAAAAACAAAATCTAAAACAGGCCTGTGAAAGGTTCTTTCTGATCAGAAGTTTACTAGATCATGAAAGAAATTAGCATCAATTCTCTGCCTTTAGATAGCATTACGGGTGCAGAAATAAAGCAATGGGTCGACTGAGGCCAAATCCCTGGGCTTTGGCCCTGGCCCCGTTTCTGCCAGGGATTTGTCATACGCCTCTTTCCTCATCTGTCGATTGAAAGAGTTTCAATTATATGCTCTTCAGTTTTTGAATTGAATGATTCTCCCCCACTTGTTGGCAACCATCTGGGATTCCTATAAGTGTATTCTGAATTGAGCTCTCTGGTTACCTTCTGGACAGTCACAAGTTGTTCATGGCTGAAGATACTGCCTGGGGGAGAACGTACCGACCTCAGGAAGAGACCACGGGTGCCTGAGCTAGGAACCAGCGGGGAGATTCTGCAATGGTGGGAACGCGCTTCATGCTGGGAAAGTGCTGCTCCCCCCAGTCACTGGAGCCCTCTTGCTACACAGAGAAAGTCCTGTGTTGCAAGCTGCTCCTCTCCTTAGCCTCCAGCTGCCCCTCTGGGTAGAATGGCCCCTGCCCGTGTACTCATGCCAGAGGTCTGATGTCTACTTCTTTCCAGGCCATAGTCCTATTTTTTTTTTTCCTCATCCGTGGATGTTTTTCTATTATCTTCAGAGAGTGGGAGGGGAATAGAGGGAGAGAAAGGGAGAGAGAGAAAAACATTGATGTGAGAGAGAGACATTGGCTGGTTGCCTCCTGCACGACCCAGACCAGGGCCGGGGACAAACCACAACTGAGGCACATGCCCTCGGCCAGAATGGAACCCGCGACTTGGAACCCGCAACTCATTGATCCGCAGGCCCATGCTCTGCAGGCCGATGCTCTGCTGCTGAGCCAAACTGGCCAGGGCCGTAGCCCTCTTTTTTTTATTTTTTTCTTTATTGATTTTTAGAGAGGAAGAGGGAGAGAGAGAGAGAGAGAGAGAAACACTGATGAGAGAGAACATTGATCAGCTGCCTTCCGCACGCCCCCCACTGGGGATCAGGCCCACAACCTGGGCATGTGCCCTGACCAGGAATCAAACCAGCGACCTCTTGATGCACGGGTCGACGCTCAACCGCTGAGCCACACTTGCCAGGCCTCTAGTCCTCCTTTAAACTTCATGTAGACTCCAGCTAGGGGCTTGCCTGGGACTGGCCTGATTCTGTCCCACCCCTCATACAGGTTTCTTGACCAATTGCATATTGGATTTTGTCTCCTCTCCCCACTTTGATTTCCTAGTCATCATAGTCAAATGTATAGTCTTTTTATTTTTGGTTAATCCTCACCCAAGAATAGTTTTCCTATTGATTTTTAGATAGAGTAGAAGGGAGGAAGGGAGGGGGAGAGAGAGAAACATCAATGTGAGAGACACATCAAGTGGTTGCCTCACACATGACCCTGTCCTGGGCTGGGAATCGAACCCGCAAACTTTCAGTTTGTGGGCTGAAGCTCTAATCGCTGAGCCAAACTGGCCAGGGTGTCAATGTATATTCTTTCAAAGTCTTACGGTCTTTATCAACCCACACATAACTCCTCTCCACAAAAAAAGGATGCCACAGTAAATGCAGGATTTGCCATTGGTGCTGGTCAGACAAGCCCTAACTATGCCACAGGTGGTTTCATGGCACCACCTACTGACCAAGGGTGCACATTACAAATGCATTAAAGTGATGAACAGCGTCTGTCACCCAGATGAGAATCACAAAGGGCTCAAGGTGACTTCAACTGGACCTTGTAATGTACCCACTAGAGTTGTGCTATGGCATGACTCTTTTCTGAAGGACTGAGTATTTCTGGAGTTTAGAAACTAATTGAGGTAGTCCAGGAAAATCTGGGATCTGGCACATAGTAAACATTTGGTATAGGATGGTGGCAGATATATTTATTCATGTTCTTTTAAAATAAAACAGTGCATCTCAGCTGACTATTTTTTAGCCATGCAGTTACACAAAATAGTCTGTAAATGCTCATAAAACAATTCTAGATGGTTTTTTCAGGGACCATGTTGAGAAGAAAAACAGCATGGTTTTTCTGGGTAAACATCCACGTACGAGTCTCAGTCCTGATCTTACTTTACATTCCTTACTCTGCGTTTCTTCTGGAAGGGACAGGCCAGGGAAAAATAGCTCTGATGTTAATGGACATTTAAAACTGAGACGGGCCTCGCTGACTTGTTCTGGCTCCGCCTGGGTCCATCAGGCCCACAGGCCTGTGCCTGTTGCCTTCCGGCTGTGGCCCAGCTGGAGTGGAGGAAGAGGGACCCCCCCCCCCCCCCGCACACGGGCCGCGGGTGGGGAGCGGCCCTGGGAGTGCTCCTGGTCTGCCCTGGGAGTGCTCCTGGTCTGCCGCCACCTGTTTCTACACATTTTGGTTTAACATAGTGGTTCTTAAGCCTCAGGGTTTTAACGTCCCTTACGATTTTCAAAGGTTCCGAGGGCAATAACCCAATAGTGCTCTCTCTCCTGTAGACTTGGGACAAGGCTAGGAAGGAAGGATGGTCTGAGAGGAAAGGAGGGCAACAGGCAGGTGAGGGCTAGCAATTAGATCAGGATTTTAAAAAGTGGGTCTAAATACAATTTCTAGGGTACTAAGGCATGCTCAGGGCAAACTACATCAACATAAGATACAAATAAGACCTTTATTTTATTTTATTTTTAATCCTCACCTGAGGATATTTTCCCATTTATTTTCAGACAGAGTGAGAGGGGGAGAGAGGGAGAGGGAAAGTGAGGGAGAGGGAGGGAGGGGGGAGAGAGAGAGAGAGAGAGAGAGAGAGAAACATTGATGTGAGAGAGACACATTGATTAGTTGCCTCTCACAGGACCCCACAGCCAGGGCTGGGGACTGAACCGCAAGCAAGGTGCATGCCCTTGACTGGAATCAAACCCGCGACTCTTTGGTCTGTGGGCCAATGCTCTAACTGCTGAGCCAAACCGGCAGGGCACAAATATGACCTTTAAAATGTGCTTTTGCTTCTGGTCAGTCTTATGTATTGGATATATAGATATAAATGTCAAATAGTAATAATTTCAGCCCTGGCCAGTTTGGCTCAGCAGTTAGACTGTTGGCCCATGGACCAAAGGGTCTCGGGTTTGATTCCAGTCAAGGGCATGCACCTGGGTTGCAGGTTAGATCCCTGGCCCCTGTCGAGGTCCTGCGGGAGGGAACCAATAGATATGTCTCTCACATTGATGTTTCTCTCCCTCTCTCCCCCTCCCTCCTTTCCACTCTCTGAAAATCAATGGAAAAATGTCCTCGGGTGAGGATTAACAAAACAACAACAACAATAGTTACAATAAATAAATAGTAATAATTTCACATGGTTTTAAAAATTGTTTAAAGACTAGCCCTGGCTGGTGTGGCTCAGTTGGTTCGAGTGTCTCCCATGCACCGAAGGGCCGTGCATTCCATCCTGGTCAGGGCACATACCTGGGTGGTGGGTTCTACCCCTATCTGGGCACCTACAGGAGGCAACTGATCAATGTTTCTACCTCGATGTTTCTCTCTCTCTGTCTCCTTGTGTGTCTATAAGTCAATAAAATCATATTCAAAAAAATAACAAGAAAAGTTTAAAGACTACAAAAGCATTTCCACACCCACTCTTGTTTCCCTTGCCCTGTCCTATTCTTATAACCACTTTGAGTTTCTTTCCAGTGTACCTTTCCTGTTTCTTTATGCAAAAATAAAAATGTATTTGTAATTTCCCGGACTTGGTGCACAAAAGGTAGCTTCAGTGGCTTGCTTTATTCAGTTGAAATATCCCTGGAGGTAT